AACCAAAAAGCAGACCTTACAACAGTTACCCATCAACAATGTCAACAATGGTTCTGCTCTCAATCTTATTGTTCCTCTTGGCAGCGATTTCCAAATATACCCTCAGCTCACGAGAAGTGTAGGGTCGTCTATGTGAGCAGGAGGTATACAAGGAAATCGATGTCAAGAGTGATCAAAAGGACTTATACAAATGTTATAAACTTCCTTAGGCGCAATAGTTCAAAAGGGCGGAGGATAATCATAACTGGAAAGAAGCGACTGGTATAGATCAGAGAAAAGAGATGTTTGAGAGCATGCCTTAGAGCTCATTTCTGTACATTTTACCACTGATCATGATCTGAGAAACCGAAAAATTGGAATACAAAAACGGGGATGAGCTATGTTGCCCACCAACAATGCTTCTGTTGATCGTTGCTTCCAAAGTAAACACTAGTTTCTGACAATTTATGGATAGATGATAGACGCATAGACGCTCACAGGATTTTGACAGGGATTCGAATTTGTAAACGAACTGCATCCTAAAGAAAGAGGGGGTGTCGTACGTTGAGTAAGTACTGATGTGCAATATCGCCAAGCAAGCACACAAAGGTCGTCAAAATTCCGTGGAACGTTCTACCGAAAAGTTGTGTGACTATATATGTGACGGAATAACTAAAAAAGAAAAGGGCAAAAGCGAAGCCAGTAGAAAACGTAAAATATCAAATAAGAAAATAAATAGAAGGTCATTTGCTTTTGTGGACTATGAGGTAATTGCAGACCAGCCAAACCGGCACGAACTGCATGAGTTTTTAAATAGAGCAATGAAGAAGCCAATTAAGCAGCTATACAGTTGACTTCGGAAATCGTCAAATGGCAATTGAAACCGATCCACTACCGCAATTATTAAGTGGAATAACTCCAGAATGAGAGCCAGTTCTGGTGAAGAAAACTGAGTTAACTATTACCGCTCTCCCCGCAAAAGAAAAACCAAAAGAAATTTCAAGCAGAAAGAAAGTGATTGAAAGGCAAAATTCAGCATCGAACAGTGACGCCAATCAACACAGAATATTATACAAGCCCTTAACGATTTTAGTAACTTTTAAGAGCTATCGATGTTTTAAACAACATGATGCATTTATTTTACTTTCCGAAGATATTAGCAAGGGGGTAATGCGTAAGTGCTGAATTCAAAGTTGACACGACCAACTACCAGATCAAGTTTGCGTCTAAATCCACCAGCGTAGTTCATCTGCCTGTGACTACAGGAGGTATACAGATTAACGACAACCATGGCGACCCTCGTTATTGCATCCCCAAAAATTTGCCAGCCTTAATTTTGAGCCAAGCCGAAAAAAAACGGTCAAGGTAAAATGGAAAAAGTCCAACGAGTAACATTATCATAAAAAATATTGAGTTTTCAGAGGGTTTCCTGCTTTCTTGTGTTCGTCCAGTTGGCATTCCAAAAAGTCGGAGAGTGGCGTTACAGTTCGGCCCACAGTAAGCCTTTTACACATAACCTATGAACTACTATTACTTTCTTACTTACTGCGATATCAATGTCAGAATTCACGATAATGTCTTTGTCGTTCATCGATGTCACTTTTGGTATGCGCCACTTACTCCACGCCTCTTGTACGTTCACATTTTTTCAGGGTCTCTGATTGAGCAACCATGCAAGTCTGGGCCAGAATCACACTTGCAGGTTGTTCTTAGATCTGCAACAATTGCGGAACCTTATCCCAAACTTGTGAGCCGTGGTCTAGTGAGAAACTACAATAATCGAATCGTCCAAACAAACAATTCAGAAAGAGTCATGTCCATTCAAATAGTCTGAAGCTCTGTACGCAAATCATTAAAAGAAGAAGGAAAGTGAGGGGAACGATATGGATTTTCTGATGGTAAAGTCGCTTCAGGAAGTAAATAGTCAAGTGAACGAGTAGTTTATACGAGAAAAGAAGTTTAACATGACGAATAAACTAACTGTGCAACTTCATGAAATGATTGGTGATGGTCATAGGTCAATAGGTACATCTATGCAGCATGCATTTTGTTGATGTTCTACACAGAGTAATTAAAAGCCATCTGATAAAAGCCAGTTTTTGGGATATTCTGACCTAAGTAACTTTTGAGAAAAACACAACTCAAAAGACACGCTCACATATGCGATGTCCCGAAAAAAAAACTTTTAATGCTGCGCTGGAAAAACATTACGAAACTGTGCTAAGTAAGTTGAAGAACAAATCCCGTAAGAACATCAAACACGTACCAGCTGTAAGTGTAGCGCGTTGTTCGAGAATCGTGTCAGTCCTTATAGAACGACTTCAAGGGTCATCACTATTGAAGACATCGGCCACGAACGAATGCGATCGGACGCCAGACAAACATCGAAACCGAAACGAAACTCTTCACAGTTCATAGCGTTATTTTGAGAATCACTCATTTGACTGAGAGTAGTGACTTGAATCAATCTTGAAGAAGCACACTATAAAAGAACCTTCAACATTTTCAAAGGAATCGAAACAAACCGACGTAGATTGCTCCGACGCGAAGCTAAATTTCAACATGGGAAGTTCTGAAAGATATTACTCTTTGAAAGAATGCCTTCCGCGTACTTAGAGTCAAAAGGTCTTCATGATCATTGAAACTATATTCTCCCGATGTATAGCCTCGACGATGAATTTCGTAGAGCAACTCCTTCAAATTTAGCAATGCCTGTTGAGCAAGGTGATGCATTGTTCGATGGGATTTCAGAGGAAATACTCCCTTCCCTCATGCACCCAAAATATCCAAGCGGACAAGTATTGTGAACATTCACTAGTCATTAGCGGGCTGTCCAAAATGTGATCGGTACTCGGTACAGGCCAGTCGACAAAGTGCTGGACAGCTTATCGCCGAAAAAAAAATGGTGGTAGCATTTAACTACAGTAATTTCAAAGGTAATTTCCACCGTATTCACCTTATTTGCCTAGTGACGTGCTCTCCAATAAGCATTTTCTCCCATCGTCAAAAAAGTCCAAGCAGAAAAATTTCACAATTCCAATAGGCCATTCAAAATTGCAGACTTGGTGATTGTCGAAAAGAGCATACGCATGTTTCAATAGATCTACTCAGCATTATAAACCCAGTGATGGTGAGTTGTTACTTGCGCTTATCTACTGAAGTGCTTCACACCTGGGCTCGATTCTTGGGGTTAGTTATCCTTAACAGAGTGTACACTCTCCTCAAATTGGTACGTAGTACAATTCTCGAAACCGAGGAGATAGAAGGAGCAAATACGTAATGTCCCTTGCGTTGAGCCAGTTTAGGCCCAAGGTCGTCGCCCAAGCCTTCCATGACGGGTACAAGGCAGGCAGCTAGCTGGTAGCAGGCTTGTCTGAACGGAGAAACGAAGCAATCCCAAGACAGCTCCCTGCTCATCTGCGCTCGTCACTGCGATTTGCGTTGCAACATGCCTCTTGCAACAGTACCAAGGCAAAGCATGAGTAAACACAACTCCTCTAAACACTGTTGCGACTCTGAATGGAAACCGAATGCTCACGACAACACGAAATGAGACTTACCTTATCGTCATTATGCCTAGAAACTGAGGTGAAAAAAAAACAATCAATAAGCAATGCAAATTTGCAAAACAAATCCGATATAACTATGTACCCTCGGTATTTCAAATCCTTTGCTAGCTATGATGACCTCGGACTCCTATCTCTCGCAGGTAAGCGAACAGGAGAGGACCAATAATGTAAATGAAATTAAGGGAAATTTGCCGAATAAAGGATTTATCGGAAACAAAATGTGGATTATCATGAACACATGGTAGACTGGTAAATTACAGATCTCTTATCAGAAAGGTAGAAAAAATCCGCACAAAAAGTTCAGGAGGCTTAGGAAATTAACAAAAATCCATAGGAACATCAACTGATACAATGAGCAATACATTGAAGAATCGCTATCCTTAAAGTTGGAAACGCTGTTCATAATTCTATTTAGAGATAAACTATTCATAAAGTTCTAGCAAGGAATTCAGTTTTAACAGAAAATACACTTCCGTAACAACGAAGGCGTGAGAGGTTCCACTTGGCATTGCGCACGTGGACCAAGCTCCCCTCAAACACAACGCCCAGGCTTGCCGAGCTTGACTAAAAAGGTTTGTCTCTGCTTCCGTGAAAGCTCTTGAATGTATTTTGATTCAAAAATCCGATAAATTAAGCAGATATTAGAAATTACACGACGCCCAAAAGTTAAATATTCGAAATCAGAAATAGAATTTGAATAGAATCAAATTCAAAAATAGAATTAGATTTGAAATAAATAGTAATTCATGAAAATGTCGTGTTCAATTAAACAAGTTGCAATGTACTTTTGACTACTCCCCACATATGTCCGGATGAGGATCCCCTGCACAAAGAAAATTTGAGGTAATATCTAAATGTGACCTTCTAATTCGCCATTTGTACAAGCATTTCAAAATCAACATAAACGAAAGTTTGTCAAAAATAGGACCAAGGACTTCATTTGTTGATTTATTTTACGGATTTTTTGCACTTTTATATAACTGATGCTCACTTACCAACTCTACTCAAATGAGGGTAAAAATAGCAGATGTATACCTGACTTGGAACGAATAGGTAGATCAACCTGAATCGACACATCCCATTTTGCCACCTTATTACAGCTATCTTTTTCCGCAATTACTGGAAATGGGAATTGATGGTTGAACGTCTCGTATATCATTTGCATGAAAATGCGCCTAATGAACTCCCCTCAAATTTTGAAGTTCGAACACTCACCAAAAACCGCGTTATCTCCAACTTTCTTTGATTTTTTGTGACGATGACGGATACAGAAACCTTTTCGCACGTTGTTTCTCTGAAAAAAAAAAGCGCTGATTCCTCCTTCCCGTGTACACATCCACAATCTCACTTGGCAAGTTTCACTATTAAACTTGGATATAATGACGAAAACCATGTCAAAGCCTGGAGCTGACCGCAATATAATTTTCATCAAGACGGGCTGCATTATGCTAGCGGATATACATGTAATGGACTTAGTCGAGTTGAACTACATGCTGCTATAGTCAATGAGAGCAAGTGTTAGTGTACAAGTACAGAAAAACTGAGCGATAAAGAGTTGGTTCCTGACAGAGAAAAGGGTACCACTTTGTTTTTCATAGAATGTTTTTCATTCTTCTTGAAAGCTTTCTTTTTTTTCATTCATCCCATAAGCCGCACCCCGCACGGAATGCTTTTCTTGTCCGCCCGTTTTCAGGTAGAAAACATTAACACAAAACTAATCAAATCGCTGCCTGAAGGGCTGTAGCCATTCAAGGGAGGTTAGGTTAAGGCAATTATTTGACGCAAGTAAAAACATCGAGTGTGTGATTCACATCGCCCCGCTAAGAGAGTGCAGACAAGCCGTGTGCCGTATAATCGTCTACCACCTTAAACTC